AACGTTTTGTTCAGCGCTTGTTATGATGTCGTCCAATTTTTCATATAAATCTTTAAAGTAAGTACATTGAGTTGATGACGTACCTTATTTGGTGCATAGATGTTGGTAAATACATATTTAACTCCTTGCACAGACGCATTCAAAATTATAAATCTACCATTTTGGTCGCACTTGCAGGATTCTTCTTCAAAATCTAAATCATTTCTAACGAGTGTTATAACGCCGCAACTGTGATTTGATCCATGCGCGAAAAACATTTTCCCATTCCATTGGGTTCTCCATATATTCTCGATTTCTACTGAACTGTACGTTTCTTGGCGGAAAATAATGTCTGCTTTTTGCTTATTCAACCAGATAAACAAAGCTTTCCTTTTTTCAAGCGAACGGATTCCACGTACGTTAAGCGAAAGAAGTTTAAAATTCACATTCTCCTTTTTGCAAGTTGTTTTCTTTTTTTTCCTCCCTACGTTTTCTAAAAGAAATAGAAAACATGTTCTCCGTGTTTCTCGTGAAAGTTTGGGAGAACTTGAAAAAACTGTGGAAACACTCGCCTGCGGTTCGTGTTCCCACAGCATTTCTCGTTCTCCCAAACTCCCACTCGTATTTCTATAACTCGATAGAAACACGGTACATGTTTTGTATTTCTTAAGTGTGAAACGTAAAAATACGGCTTTTTATTGTATTCGAGTGGTAATCTTCACAGGGCCGCTAGTTTCGGGATTCAATAAGAAAGTAGAAAATTAACGTTACTTTCGGGGAGCCGTTACTATCGGAATTCTGCGGTAGAACAAACTTAGGAAATTAAAAGTGAGACTTTTAATTTGAAATTCTAAATTGGTGTTACCGATAGCAAGTGAAATTATCCCATGAATAGAAAGTAATAAAACTTCATTACTGAAAAATAGTTTAGCTGGCTAGCTTCCGAGGGAACGGAAGGTAGATATTAATAATTAAAGGTAACTCAATGACCAGACATCAAACTATTTGTCTTCTAAATGAAAGTTACTGAAACGGTGTTGCACATGTTCAGGTGTACAAAGAATCGGCAATGTACTAAGTAGAATCAGAATAACTAAAGATTCCTAGTTGTTAAAGAGGCTACTGTGGGCTTCTCCATATTTTCTTGTTGGTTATAATATTTCTTGAAAGCGATATATGCATGCTAAATGCCACTGAAGCGAATAAATTGGTGAACAAAACTAAGATCAACAAGTTCCCTATTGCTAAACCAAAATACATTTTATAGGCTCGGAAGCAAGCAATTTACAATATTTTCATAACAACACTCAATGTGAACTTAAAATAATAATAATGCGGTTGCGGTAAAGAACGGTTGGGACTACTTCGCCTATTGCTCCGTAGCTAAGCAAAGGTCAACTGCATCTTAACACTTCAGACTTTGTATCACCTGATGACTTTGATGGTGTGGAATTAAGTTATTTTGGAACAGTTATAAATGTAAATAAGAACTGCTGATTATTACAAACCGAGATGTGTGTCATGCAATAAGAAAACCATTGTTAATTTTATTCAAAACATGCCCTTAAGTATTTGAGTAATGTTACATTTTTTGTTATCTTTATTTTATGCTTGTCATACATACAGATTAGCGAAATAAACACGACCCCACACGGGAAATTGTTTCATATGACTTGTGAGACTGGCGATATGCATTTACAGTTGAAATGTAAGGAGTGGGTAACACATCTCGTATCAATTCAGAGCCACCCTTACCACATCTGTTAGCAAGTTCGACACACCACTTCAAAACAACAGGGTAGAAACGCATTCCTTTAGGGTGACTTTTTTTTGCCAGCTTCAGAATTCTTCTTCTCTGTTTCTGACTTCATGAGCGAAGTTACTGTGTCGCATAAAAGGGCATACAAAACAGAACTTTCATCAAGACATTGTTTGGACAGTGCTATTTCCACTAAAGAATTAATTGAACTGAGTTTAATTAAGGGCTGTTAGCTTGACATCAGGGGCGGGGGGAGAACACTCTGCGACGCCTGGCACTTTTTGTGTATCTGAATCATCCAACAAAAAATG